TATCAACTAACAATCCTTCAGACCTTCTGAGGTAGCCTGAAGCCTTTTGATGTATGCAAATTCAGTAGTCTGTCCCTCAGTTGTGCTTTTAAAGTTTCTTTATCCCAAAACAGCTGCTTTGAAGTTTGTAATGAAATCTTCTGGGAAGTTAAAATGCTCTAATATTATTTTGCCTTTGTTCTGAATTCTGATGTCAAACTTGGGCCCATTAATTCTTTTGTGCAAAGTCTGGCCTGTTTGTCCTAACAGAATCCAGAGGACTATTGCTGACAGATGATGGCATATACATTGCAGGAAGAACATGTGAAGGCACCTCTAATCTTGTGTATTAAGTTTTGGGGGTTTGTTATGGTACTATTGGCAAAATTGTGGGGGCAATTTTGGTAGACATCTGGATTTGTTGCAGGGTCTGATTCCCATGCTGGCATCATTTCTCTGTTGTTTCTTGTTGCTTGTGAGAATCTGCTTCAGGTTAGATGGGTTGTCCGTATGCAAGCATGGGCCTGCCATCCAGTGCCTGAGAAAATAGAGTGTCATTGTCCAGTATGCGTTGTAGCTTACTAATAATATGTTTGAATGGCTTGACTGTGAGTTGTACGTGATACCCAGTGGTGTTTTCTTGTTTTGTTTCTGTGGTCTGCCTTTTAATAGGCTGTTCCTGGAAATTGATTTGGGTCTCTTGATTTGTCTATTGATCTCATTGGGTAGGTAGTTCAGTCTCCTGAATGACTGATTTAATCCCATCAGTTGAGCATCTCTGACAAGCGGATCAGAAATAAAATCAAAATCCCAGAAGTGAAAGTACTAGAAGTAGCTGTGTTAATCAGAAGAGAGGAAGTGAAACAGGTAAGACACAAGAGCCAGTTCAGTCTAGTGGTTAAGGCACCAGGCTAGAAAGCAGGTAACTGGGAGTTCTAGTCCTGCCTTAGGCTTGAAAGCCAGCTGGGTGATCTTGGGCCAGTCCCTCTCTCTCAGCCCAACTCACCTGACAGGGTTGTTGTTGTGGGGAAAATAGAGGAGGAAGGAGTATTAGGTATGTTTGCCACCTTGAGTTATTTATAAAAATAAGAAAGGCAGGATAAAAAAAATCTAAACAAATAAACATTGTTAAAAAAAAGCCCCTTTATTTGGAATTGTCTGTGTTCTAACTATATATATAGTTAAGTTAAGGCCACTATAC